TCCCCCCCCCCCTCCCCAAAAAAAATAACCGCGCTACAGCAACAAGAAAACATTTACCTAAAAGGGCTAATAGGAATATTAATAAACAAATCTATCATTTCACCACCTCTCCTTACCTCCCCTCCTACGCTCAAGAAATCGAATCCCAATCCCAATTGCAATCTTAAGACCGGTCAGTAAGCGAGGAAGGAAGGAAGTAAGTAATCACCAAATTCCAATTCGCATGAAAAGCTCCCATTAACCTAATTACCAAGGAACAATTTCAATACTCATACAACTAGACAATTACGTATACCCTACAAAGCACACAAGTTATAATCCCTCAAACTCATAGTCTCACACGCAGAGAAGAAAAAGAAGATTTTATTCGTAGGAACGAAATTGTGGTATTGTTAGTAAACTTGTTTACTAACAAACCCCCATATCCCATTCGAGATATTCGCTTCTTTCTTTTTCGATTTCGATTTCCTCTCCTCCTTTCTTTCTTATGGTATCGCATCAGCTCCCAGCTTCGTCATTCCATCTCCATCTCTCATCCCGTTCCATCCTGTTCATCTCCTGCCGATCGGGGTATACACAAACAAGCAAGCAAAAACAAAAGCCACTCCTTATCATCAACTCATCCCTCAAGGACCAAAGTCACGAATGACAAACCAAACTCAACCACAAACCTATCCATCCTCATCCCCTCCCCTCCTAACCCAAGCTATCCCCAAATCCCCACCTAAACAATCGACTCAAAAGCCTCAAAGCCCCAAAGCTCCCCACCTGAAAGCCTAAAAGCCTCGAGCCCCCAAACCAAGTCATAAAGAAAAGTGATAAAAACAAGAATACACAAAGCGCAATGCTAGTCCCGGACTGATATCAGGAACCCATATCAATCTAACGACCATACATACAAAGAATTGTCTTTTTCTCCCAAGGTACTCTGCAGAGAAAACCGAAAAGAAAAAACGTAGTGAAACCCTAAAAGGCTTTGTATCCTCCTATTGCAAAGGTTGCAAACGTATGCCCAAGTGATATGCTATCCACGTGGTTGCCTTTTGGAAGGCTCCTGATGTGTAAACAGACAAGGGAGAAAAAGGGGGGTAAACAAGAAAGAAAAAGAAAAAAACAAAAACGCCACCCAACCCTGCCTGCAATGCCAACGAGAAACTCCAAAGAAAAAGAAACAAGCAGGTTCTGTCACCGTCTCGAGTCCAGATGACACGTGAGAAAAAGGCCTCATCAAAGAAGAAGCAAGGAACCGCTAAAACGCTATCATCAAACCTCCAGGTCGCCCAAATATCAAGGAGACAAAAAGGACTTTTCCCATCCGTTTTCGCAAAAGAGTTCCTACATTCCTTCCATCCCGCAACTTCGTGGTACCGTGAAACCATTGAAGTACTGAGAACCCGTGCGAGGAGGGATCAAAGAGGACCTGAATAACGCCGGTTGCTATGATCGTAGTGTACAATTTCACACCACCACTCATGTGAAAACTGTATGTCGTACAAGAAAAGAGAAAAACGAAAAACTAAAAACTCCTGCTGCCCACCCATCCGATCGGAAACTAGACTCTGACAGAGAAGAAGAAACCCCTTGAAGCTCAATTTGTGAAACAAGATCCAGATCGATGTTGTGAATTAGATCCAGAGCCCCTCACATCAAGCCGATATTGAAATATCAGATCCGGACTTCGTTAAATCCAGCTCCGAAGATAAGCAAGTGTATTTTAAACACCCAGAAGGACAGACATCTCTGCCAATAGTCGAACAAAACGAGCATGCAGCTCGATGAAAAAATCTGGGAGTCCAACGATTTCCGCTAGTCCACGAGATCGGAGGCTCATACCCGAAAAGCGGCCATCTCCGCCTCGGTTGCGACCTTGCAAGAAGGAACTCGTTGATGTAGTATTGCTCGATGGGTTGGGTCCTAGACGAGGGGAGGTCATCTCCGATCGCTCAAGTTCAGCTTCGGCGAGACCCTGAATCCAGGAAGCAAGCTCGCGAAACGCAACGGTGAGTAACGGGAATGTCTGCATCGCACGCTGCTGACGATGGGTAGACAGGGCCATAAGCGCGTAAATGCGTCGGCGGCCACGAGCGTTGGGGTCAGGAATACGAAAGAGAAAGGCTGTCGTGTAACCAGCAAGTGGGTCACCAAAGAAGATGGGACCACCGGAAGAAGTGCTGCTGCCTGAAGATGAGATGGCAGACAAGGGGGAATTCAGAAGTGGTGAGGTGGGAGATGCACTTGGGAATTGGCTGGATGGTGGTAGAGTCTCACAAGAGAGAGTTCGAAGGCATGATTGACGGATGATTGAAAACGAGGTGGAAGAAAGAGGTTCGTGGGAAGAGGTATAATCAACGTGATGGTCATGTGTTGTCGAGGCGGAGCTAAAAGAGGAATCGCTTGACGAGGTAGTGACGCGATGTAAGGAGTAGGTTCGCTTAGCAGGCTTGGATGTGATGGCACTCTCGGAACCAGAGGACGCAGAGGAAGCGGACTTGGGTGGCGATGGTTCTTCCATTGGTGCAATGACTCTCTCGTAGGGCTTCCGAGTTCGTAGAATGGGACCATTGGACTCAACTTTGCTGTAGGGGATGGGATCGTCCTTCGTCTTCTTGGGTAGAGTCAGGGCACAATTATCACATGGGATAGCGCGCTTCTTGTCGTTCTCATCGTAGGTCTTACGGAAGCTCGAGTCGGGTCTATGCAAGCCTCCGCCGTGTCCGCCTTGTAATGCGAGCACTCGCGGGCTTTCTGGGGGTGTTTCCATTGCAGGTGCGGGAATCGAGGTTTGTGAATTGGCACTTGGAATACCACCAGCCTCCAATCCACTTGGTTTCTTTGAAGGCATCGACTCTGTCCCACCGGCACTCACTGCTCCCGAAAGGCCATCGGCGGGGTTGAGAGAGCGCGCACTGGTACTTGGTCTGCGAGAGCCGCCATAGGATTCGTTCTCTTGATAGCAGGAAGTGCAGCCAACCGGGAAGGCCTCAGTGACAAGAATAGCCGTGGGACCATGGGTATCGCAATAATGCGCAAGGCACAACTAGAGGCAAATCAGTCAATTGTATTCCGAGTTGCAAAGCATTGGCAGGTTCAGATGGGAGCTTGTGTTTGTGCTGGTGGTGCAATGAGGCAAACACCAGTGCAGTGGATTGCGGGGCAATAGATAAAAAAAGGAGGGGATTTTTTAGGGTGCGAGTAACTAAAAGACCTCTAAAGCTTAAGCAAAAGTATAGATGGAACACTTACAATGGAAGACATGATGGATTCGCCAACAATTCGTCTCCAGACCTGTAGATCGGACCCAATTTGGTGGTTCGGTGGCAGTGGTGAGAGGGTGAGGTGTCTGCACAATGCAGATGGGGATGGTGGGGGAGTATGGCAACTCTGAGGGGAGAAGTGGTGATGTGTGAATGTACGAGTAACCACCAAAGTACAGTTTACTTGGGGTGGGGGTGGTCGGTGGGGGTGTCGCGGGACCACTCTCTCAGAGAGTAGTGAATGCGCGTCAATCGGGTTCTGGAGTTGTGTCGCCGATCTGAGAATTAAATTAAAAGGGGAGTGAAGAGAAGAGAAGAGTGAATTGATCGCAAGAAATATATGGTACAGTACAGTGCAGGCGGGTTTGTATGGTGGTCGGTGGTGCTGGTCAGTGGTGCTGGTCAGTGGTAGGTACGGGTACTTGTGAAAGCTGGTGCTGGGTCTGGGTCAGCGCCTTAGCTTCCTTTAGGGTCCAGATGCTTGAAGCTCCGACGAGCTAGGCTGAGGCTAGGCTGAGGCTAGGGACGAGCGCCAGACTAAGATCAGACTAGCGCAATACTAGCGCCAAGCTAGGGGCAAATGGGGGCCACCTCGGCACTCTGGCACTCTTAGCGTCTTCTAGCAAACTTCCTGCTTAGGCTGCGGTGGTCCACCTCCAGCGGCTGCATCCACTCCCAACGCCTGGAACGGGCCAAATGCCACGCTGTCGGGAAGATTGGCGAAAAACGTTGTCTCAGTGCTGAACAATGAGGTAAGAGCAACTTGGCACCGTCACCACCTCTGCCTATGGCCAGATATATGGGTTCTGTATAATATGTGAGTGCGTGTGAGTGTGAGTGTGAGTGTGAGTGTGGGTGTGGGTGTGGGTGTGGGTGTGGGTGTGGGTGTGGATATGAGTGTGACTCTTTGTTGGATGGTGTCTGAGGTAAAGATGACAGAGGTCGCTTTGAATATATGGTCAGAGGGTGAGCAAGAGGACAGCAAGAGGAAGAGCAGCTGAAGACTACAGAGGCAACAGCAATGGAACCGCAATGGCAGCACCAACATGCAAGGGAGGCAGCGGTAGTTATACACTCCGGAGGTATGGAAATAAGCAACACTCAGCTCAGATACAGGATGGGCGGATGGATAGATGGATGATGGATGATGGTCCATGGCTTATGACGGAAGGCAGGACAACACCAACACCTTCACCGCTCCAGGTATCAAGTCAAGGTATCAAGGTATCGAGGTATCACCGACAGTACAAATACCTGACTTCCGTGTGGCTGCCACGCTCTGCCGTACGAATGGAATGGGAATAATGGGAACGACCAGAATCGAAGTCCCCAGGATCACTTATCAGCCTGCAGTAAGCAATCGGGTCCCAGCCATAGGAGACTGGGCCACTTCCCCCGGGACAGGGAAGACCAACGGACAGTCAGCACTCTATTGAGCCACCCCGTCCACTGCCGTGCCCAAAGAGGAAGATGGGTAGAAAGAAGCAAGCAAACCTTCGCCGCGTCTCTGCATTTCCCTATCTTCATTTGAGACTCCGTACCTTCATCAAGAACTCACCGAGGACGATCATCTTGGGGAACTGAAGCCTGGTCCAGCGATTCGGAGCTACCCGGAAATGGGAAACTTCTCGTGCTTCGAAAAAAGGGGGGTCCTTGCCGATCATCCAGCAGCGAGAACGATTTGCCGGGCGCACTTGGCCTAGGTCTTGATCTCGTGAGAATTCATGGAAATCTATATTTATAAAGTACTTCCTACAACCATTTTTAGGTACGTTTGACCTTTATATGCTGTAGATCTACAACCCATAGCTCACCCCATTCAATGCCATAGCTCCAAGAACCAACCCAACAAACTCCATCTCCCACACGCCATCCCGGCAAATCCCATCCCTCACACCATCGTAAATCAAAAAGAGAGTTCTCCAGTATCGGCGATAAGGAGAAATAAACCTTCCATCTTTAATTACAGGAACTTCCACCTACCCCCGAGACCCTACCCTACCCTCGGGAAACCCAACGAGCCCAACGACATCTCCGTCATTCTCCCAACCTTTGCGCTTATCTACCACTCATTTTCATTTCCATTTCCTACCGTTCACCACTTCCAACGAAACCGATGGTCTAGAGAAATCTGAATGAGATTATGAGGGAAAGATGACAGATCCTCGGAGATTCTGGAACTGGAAAAAGCAAAGAGAAGCGAAGGCGTGGAAACAAACGGTCTTGGCTTGGGCTGTGTATGGATGGATCCTAGATTAGATACTAGACGGTGGAATATCGTATTACTTATCGCTGTGCATGGGTACTGGTACATATGTCATCCTGCACTATGGGTACTAGGTAGGTATAGGTACTATGTATGGATATCCTTGTTGCTATTTAGGTAGGCACCTACCATGGCCAGTTACACCTAGGTAGTATACGACCTTGGGAGACGAGTCTTTTTTATTTTATCTAAGTCCCTTTCTATTATATCATTCTACTTACCTAGGTAAGTTAGTTATCAAGGAAAAAGTATAAGAATAAGTCTCTTTAGAGAAATAAATTGTTATATCTAGAGTTTATTAAAGTAGGTACTTATACTTATTCACTAACCTGTGAAATTTAGAGAAAGAGTACCTATAGGTAGTTAAAAACCTCTAGGTATTAAATCCTACAAATACCTACCTACCCTCTATGTTCTCATAGCTATTATATGTATATATCCTACTTCAAACTACCTCCTTTATAATACCCCTAATCCCTCCTCACCATCCTCACCATCTACACCCTCAATCCATCTCCACCCACAAACCCCACCCTCCGCCTCCTCCCCCTCCCTGCNCCCCTAATCCCTCCTCACCATCCTCACCATCTACACCCTCAATCCATCTCCACCCACAAACCCCACCCTCCGCCTCCTCCCCCTCCTCCCCCTCCTCACTCTCCCCGTCTTCATAGCTAGTACTTGTACCCTCCACATCCATATCCATATCCACATCCCCATCTCGCTCCCCAAGCATCTCGATGAGAACCAATATAAACTGGGGGTACTATATGTCAGCTTGTTGGAGCGTGTAATGCGGGCATCTGGATTGGCTGTGTTGTGGGAATGGGAAGTATGCTGGGTGTGTTTTTTTTTGGAGGGAAGAGGGGATGTTTAGAAGGAGGCAGGGGGGGAGAGGGGGTATTATTATGGGTTGGTGGTGGATGGATGGATGGTGGATGGATGGATGGTGGATGGATTGATGGATCAGGGTCTTGAAATGTTGGGTAATCTGTTTACCATACCCACACATTTCTAGATATAGCGAAGGACAAGAAAGAATAATATCTCGATCATGGTAGCTGTAAGATAATACAAGTACTTAAGCGACACTCTCGATTATAACTTCGACGTAAACCCACAACATCTAGTTACCTTAGGGTATACGAGTACGAGACGAGTACCATACAGGTACTCGTACCTTGCAGACCACGAAGGAATTAGAGTTTACCATCCCCCCTCTCCCCCTCCTAAACGAAAAGTTTACTTCGTAAAGGTACTAAAGTAAGTTAGATCACACGTTATAGTTTATAGGAGGGGGGGCAGTGCAGTGTAAATTCTAATTCCACTATAGGTAGGTAATAAGAGTACGGAGGTATAAGATCTTGTAATCGAGTTTGTTTTATTGACGTAATTAGGTAGGTAGGTAGGTAGGTACTTACAGAGAGAATATGTGAATTGGAAGGATGATTGTATTACTGTTACGCCAAGTGTACTGGAAACTACTTATTTCTACTACAAATGCACCCCTTGATTCCAGGTTCCGTCTACCTACTAACAGAGCTTCATTTAATTAGCTAGGATAGGCTTTACCTGAGCCCAGAAAATATATCTTATTACCTAGGTATACTTTATACGAAATAACATTTCGTTTAATGGTGGAGAGTAATAAAGGCTATAGGCCCTATTCCAAGACCTTTCATAAACGTTTAATCATGAATCTGCTTACCTAGGTATGTCCTAACCAAACATGGATTTCTAGTCTTATTACCAGATCGTAATAATTAAATAACATTTCTTCCCCTCTACCTTCCCAACTTCCGGATTTTCTTTGGATCCGACAACTCTTACGAGTACAGTACCTCAAGATCACGCATTCCTTACCTCCTTTCCCTACCTCTTACCACTAGGCACAAGTAGTGAATGACCAACCCCCTCTTCCACCCAACCACAGATCGTCACGAACACACCAACCAACCAACCAACCTCAAAATGAAATCCACCCTCCTCCTCACCACCACCGCCATCTTTCTATCCCTCGCCAGCGCCAGCGGTAGAGCGAGCGTCAACGGTAGAGCAAGCACAGTCTACATCCCACCATCGAAGCGTCAAGATGAACAGCCTCTCCTCTGTCAGGATCAAGGGACCTGTAACGAGGGCCATATCGGACGAACGGTCTGTGCTGGGGGGAAGAAGGTTGTTATTGGGGCGTGGCCGTGTTGTGGGAAGAGGGGTGTGTTTGTTGATGAGTTTGTATGTATTTTGCTTTTTGGGGTCTTGGTGGGGTTGGGATGGAGGAGAAGGTGGGAAGGGAGAGAGTGCTGACTTGAGTGTGTTTTAGGGATGTTGTGATAGCGGGAATTAGGGGGATGGAGAAGGATGGTTTTACGTACTATACCGGTTTTGGGGATTAGGGAAGGGGTAGGGGTGAAAGAGATGGATATGTCGAAGGAGTGGTGGAATTGGGACAGCGATGGGGAGGGAAGGAGGGAGGGGAGGATGAGAGTTTATAGTAGTGGCTTGGTGTTAGGGTTGCTGCTACGAGTTGGGATGGAGGATAATGTAATTGAGTAGGTTAATGGGATATATGGACGATGAGTAAGGTATATAGGGGTTTGAATCCGTTGAATTCTTCTTTCCATCTACAACTTTCTGTGGCGGAGGATACGAATAAATGGTACTGTACTGTACATATATCCCGACATCGATAAAAGGAAATCTTACCTGTACACAAGTCCTTCGAGTCCCGAACATAAGCATGAACTTACTACACCTAGCTACACGAGACGTGGACAGCTATCTATCTTGTAGTTAACGATCGGTATCTGGATTATGTTTCCAAGAATGCCATGATTTCATTCTCAAGTGGAATATTCCAGAGGATATATATGTTGGTTAATCTTTGACCAAGAAGAATTATAAGGGCTTGATTTAAAGTGAGATAATTGCTACAAGAGTGGATTAGTCAGTCCCGAAGTCATTTACCAAGAACCAGTCACATGTCTCTTACTTATATATCACGCTTAGTGAGCGCTAGCGTGGTCTACTCCTAGGTCGTCTCCTAATTACTAGTAGAAAGCTAAGGATTATCCTGAGCTTCCTATTAGTCCGGAGACCAGAACAATTAATAGCCTATGTATAGATTCTATTCTAGAAGCACAAGTTCCAGGTTAGAATCATGGAATTTTCCGGACTTCTTTCGAATGAAATGGGATATGCCATAGAGGTGGTCTGACAGGAAAGGAATTCCAGATATCGAACGATGTTTGTAGTCTACAAGGGAATTAGCGTTACAGTACTACTGCAACAATAGGCCCTATTCCAATATATATAGCAAACCCTTTTTTCGCATTCATGAATCTGCTTATCAGGGTACCAGACACCGATTTGTAGTCCGATATGACTGTATTATAACAATTAAATAACATTTTCTCTACCCATCTTGCCTTTCCAATCTTTTTTCTATTTGAACCCGACTACTCTCACCTCTACACCTCCCTCGTCTGCACTCCTCTCTACGAGCGAACAACCAAAGATCTCTCACACCACTTCTCCAAGCACATAGCATTTCACACACAAACACACAAATGAAATCCACCATCCTCCTCACTATTCTCGTATCCGTGGCGACTGCGGTCCACATCCCGCTGTTCAAGCGTACTGAGGTTCAACCAACGTTATGTCAGGAACCTGGGTCGTGTGACGAGGGCCATGCAGGTCTTGGTTGGCCGTGTTGTGGGACGAGTAATTATGTTGATAATAATGTACGTATCTTCCTTGGATGTTGGAAAGGGGATGGGATGGAAGGTGAGAAGCAGAGGAATGTTTGTCGTGCTGACTGTGTTATTAGGGCTGCTGTTAATTTCCTCACTGTAGGAAATGATGGAGTGGAAGACTGGATGTGGATGGATGGATGGATGGATGGACGATGTTTGGGCTTGAATTGCTGGGATTTCTGCTTAGGTATCGACGGGGATATCTGCGTATCTGTATACGCATTTCGGTCTAACATCGTCAGTGGATCGAAAAGAATGGTATCTTGACCAAAATAAAGGTATTCCAAGCTTCTACTACAAGTATATATTACTGTAAAACTTCCATTCTTACGTAGGTAATCTTGTATCCCAGACAGAAACCACCATACTACATATAGTTCAGTAATAGACCATTCAGTTCACAGAGGGAGGGATATAATGACAAGGGGATACAGCTCTACAGCGAAGGATAAAAAGGAGTGGTATCCCGACCACGACAAAACTATATAAGTCCCAGTGGGAGCACGATCCATAGACCATTGATTCCCGAGTCAATGAATTGTTTGGCTCCTGGTAATACATATGAACGAGGTTGGAATTTTACATGGCCAAAAGTTGTTAGTTCCTGTCTACAATTTTGATTCTTTGAATGCACCCTCTATACTTCTCTATCTACAAGCCGGTGAGTCCTTCCTCCACATAAAGCGTGTAACAGGTATAGGAAGGACGAATCAGCTATTAGAACTACTATTCCTATCTAGATCTTCGTGAGCTTACTTCCCTACAAGAGGAGCAGAGAAGGGAGACAAGTAGGAACTTGTATAGGTAGGGATAGTAGATACCATAGGGACTTACAGAGGCTGAGAGTGCAAAGGAGTTAAAGTGAGGATGGGATGAGGGCACTAATATGTAGGTGGTACGGTTAGGGTTCCTAACCATAACACTAAGCTTACGTATATACGTTCCACAAGTATTTGCACCACACCATATTAACCCCGATTAAAAGCTCAACCCATCCCAATCATTCAGCCCAAAAATACAGCAACAAAAGCCCATTTCCATCCTCCACATCATCCGAAAATTCCTCTTTTCAGCGATTTCCATTTTAGCTAACCCTTACCCGCGGGATCGTCACCTTGCACTTTGTACTACATACGTCAGCCCACTTTCCTTTCCAGCAACCAGGGTAATCTTACATTGAGGCTAAATGGTTCGCACGAGGTTCGCATGAGTGAGTATATTACATTGCAGGAGATTGACATTGTAGGAGTATGGTACTAGACGAGGATTGATGTCCCGTTTTCGACGGCCTCAAGTAAGATCTTACGCCAGATACCAAGTACCTTGGCGTCTCGGATGCGGAGAAATACTATAGGGGGGTTGTTGGTGGATGCCTATAGTATAATATGTTTTGCGAAACAGATTGTACTATAGGGGTTCTTCCTCTGGATTCTCACTCTTTTATTCAGCCTCTTAAACTCTTTCTTCATACTGCTCCATGTTGAGAATCTCCTATGGACCAGACTACATTTCTCCTTTGTAATTTTACGGCTACAAACCACACAAGAAGTAAGAATCAAGAGACAAAAATATAATGGAAAGAAGAACAATAGACCAAGAGCTGAGTCTCGATTTCCGACATCCCGGGAATTTCCTTTACCATGTCTCCCAAGTAATAACAACCCCATCTTATACCTACCTTCTCCTTACTCTTCCATCCTTCTAGGCATGGCATTGTATCATTCCGCTCGTGCGATAAATTCATAAAAACACAAATGCGAACAATAAAACGGAACGCACTCCAGGTCCGAGTTCGGAACTACCATGCTCCATATTCCATATTCCATCCCAGTTTCATTTCTATGATATCATACCTTATTCCAACTTGAATATCTGTTCTTAGATGACGAGATGTTACATTAAGGCTTCGGAGAGGTGAGGCGGAAGAACATATTCCGCTTCGTCTCGGTAGAATAGAGCCTAGATGAATATTTCCGAGTTCAGAATCATCGAATTTAAAGAGGTCCTTGCAAGTAGAATTGCCTACAAATCAGCGATAATTTTGTTATGCATTATTTAGAATGGTACTTAGGTAAGCGTTCGGTATTTACCAGTTATTTCACGTGAACAGTATGCAAAATGGTCTCTCCTACCATCGCAGCAGGTCACAGCTAATCTCAATTTGTCAAAAACTACATACAGTAACAGTGAAAATTTAACATACTACTCTATCACTTCACAAGATTTACCTAACCAAGATTCCAAGATACTTTCCAGACTACCAGATTCGTTGAAGTACTTGATCATCACATATAATTCCTCCAAGTCACTCTTCTTAGATCCCTTATATCCCAAAGCTAGACCCCAATTCCCCTTTTCTTTCCAAAACAAACAACACATAAAGACTCCCTCGCTCAGGAAGTAAGAAGTTCCCCCTGCCGTAATACACGCAATCCCCAAAAGGAACCCAACATGAAAGAAGAAAAGCTTCCAATTCCCAAACATACCCACCCCATTTCCCTTTTCTGCTCTCCCCATCCACTCTAACAACTTCTCAAGTTGTTAAATAAAGGGAAACACAACTTTCACTGCAAGCCTCCAACAATTAAAAGAATTCCCCAAAGAATGAAATCCCCAATAACCCCCGTATCACAAACATACCCTCATCCCTCCACCACCCACCCATCGCACAAAGACATGACATAGTACCAAACCCATAACCACCGCACACTCCCACAAAACGGACCAAGAAAATAAACCGAGCCGAGTACTCTACCTAGACATCACTCAAAGAGTCACCTCAGAGCACAAACCCCAGATATTCCGACTAAACCCTCGTACCCAAGCCCACTTCAGCTGCTACAAAACACCCCATCCGAAAAGCTGTGTCGAGGACGTACAAAGAACATCATCACATGGACGAATCTCACTTACCTCTCCCGTTCCCCACCATCTGACCCCGGAATTTGGTAATGAAAAATAAAAGATCAGCATACAGGTCCATTGAGCCTTCGTTATCTCAGCAGCCAACTCACCAGATCGACCAAAAGAACCTGGTCGTATTCGGAGGTCAAGGTCATCACAGATGAGAAGAGAAGGGGGTTTGAGTGTAACTTGTCATATTCAGCTAGTCAAGAAACGAAAACACAACCATCGGACCCATAGTCCGACGACGAGCCATGCCTCCTCCAAACCAACTACACCCAAAATAAAAAAAAGTATTTTTTCTCTCATTTTTTTTCTTTGCCATATCTTTTTCTGGCCTTTTCGTCCCCATTCAACATCCACCAAGTACCAGGCTCTTTCGTGTCCAGAGTACGAAAAGAGGGACCATAATTGCCAATTCTTGGGTATCCAGTCGCACACACATCGCTCCACCACACCAACTATCATTGCGGATTCACCAACAACATCCCCCAGCAAGTAACATCGCATAAAGTAATAACCCCTCGTCTAACAACATCTCGCCAAAGACTAAGAGTAAATACCAAGTCAACTCTTCTTTATAAAACCCATCATCTTTCCATCCATCCTATCCACTCCTCACCAGCCCTAGCCCCAGTCCCAGAAAAGGGGAAAAAGCTAATCATTGAGCCATCAGAGAAAGAGCAAGAATCACAAAAAATATGAGTTTTCTGCCGACGCCGTCCAGTTCATGCCCTTTCTTGCAAGTCCGGACTCCAGGTATCGTCCAAAACGATACCGTACCGAGAAAAAAAAAGAAACTCCACATTACGCCGGTTCCAACCAGTCATGATGTCAGGTTTCAAAGCCGCTGAACTTTTGCTGTCCCGCTGCTCCTCGTCCGACCAGAGAGGCATTCAATAGGGAAAAAAAAGAAGTAGAAAGAAAGAAAATCGTATGTTACAAACGCGAAGCTGAACTCCTAGCAAGAGATCATCATAAACCAAACGCGATACCAGGCAAACAAGTGAGAAACCTCCATTTGCTGGCAAGCTGCGAAAAGAGCGAATCCTCAGGGGAGTGTCGCTTCGCGTCTATCATAAAGTTGGAACGTGAAAAAAAATATGTACAAAATCTTGAAAGGGGACCGAGGCATTCGAAGCAGATAAGAAGACAATTATTGAGTCGAAACGTGTTGACCACGCCCACCTCGCTGCCCTTCAAATCCGTTCTGTCGACCTTGGCCACCGCCCTGTGCTCCGCCTCGACGGCCGTTGGAGTTTGGCTCAAATCTGCCATTTCCACGGGAGAAGTTTTGTCCTTGACGTTGGCCTTGTGGTTGTCTTTGGCCTTGGGTCTGATTAGAGTTGTTTTGGCGCCCATTGCCGTAGCCGGATTGGTTGCTTGTTCGTTGATTGCCAGATTGTTCTCGTGGTTGTTGGGTTTGTGAGGATTGTTCCCGTCCAGAAGGTTGTCGGTTGGTTTGGAAGTTTGAGATTGGACGTGGAATGTTCTCAGGGGTATCATAGACGTAGAGATTCTTATCAATGGTTGCTGGTATGGCTTGAATCTCAGTACCGAGGTCTCGCTCAATATTGTAAAGATTGAAACGATCATCCCAGTTGATAAGGTTGATTGCCAGACCCAAGTGACCAAAACGTCCCGATCGACCAATACGATGGAGATATGTTTCAGCATTCTTGGGGAAGTCAAAGTTGATGACCACATTGACGGCCTGGATGTCAATTCCACGAGTCAAAAGATCGGAGCAAACAAGGTTTCGGCAGACGCCATTGCGAAAATCATGGAAAACACGGTTACGATTTGCTTGAATCATACGAGCGTGACTGTAGAAACAGGAGTAGCCTAATTCAGTGATCTTCTTGGCAAGCAATTCAACTCTGTTTGTGGAATTGCAGAAGATGATAGACTGGTTGATTTGCAATTTTGAGAATAGGGTGTTGAGACAGTGAACCTTTTGCTTTTCCTCGACGAATGCATAGTATTGAGTGATTCCGCGGAGCGTGAGTTCGTCCATGAGATTGATTTCATATGGACTTGTTAGATTCTTTTCCGAGAAGGTTTTGACGGTGATTGGGAAGGTTGCGCTGAAGAGCATAACTTGTCGGTCATTTGGGTGGAACTGGAGAAGTTGTTCGATTACGGGGGTAAATTCGGGCGAGAGTAGTTTATCAGCTTCATCCATAATGAACATCGGACATTCGCTGAGGTCGGCAACATTCTTTCCTGCCAAATCGAGAATTCGACCTGGGGTGCCAACAATAATATGGACTGGATCCGCGAGACGCACGATATCATCGCGCAGGGTGGTACCACCTGTGGTAACCATAACGTTGATACCCAAATGCTTGCCCAGAGTCTTGCACACTTGGGAGGTTTGTAAGGCAAGTTCTCGGGTCGGGACAAGGATTAAACATTGCACCTTGGAGCTCTTAGGGTTGATGCGCTCGAGAGCAGGGATAACGAAAGCCGCGGTCTTGCCAGTGCCGTTCTTTGCTCGAGCAAGTATATCTCGCCCAGTGAGGGCCACAGGGATTGCCTCTTCTTGAATGGGTGATGGCTTTTCGAATCCGGCCTCGAAGATGCCCATCAACAGGTCTCGCTTCAGGCTGAACTCCTCGAACTCCAAGCCTTTTGTAGCGGTCACATCCTATGCAAACTATTAGCAGACTGGCAGCACGTCTCGAGGAGTTAGTCGTACTTCGGTTTGATGTCTTGTGTCTTTTGCAGGAACCTTGAGAGCCTTCTTCCAGTCTTCAGGCCTGGCCCCGTCACTACGTGCCAATGAGATGAGCTGAGGTTACAGACAGTCAGTGGCAGGCATTGATACGTACGTGAGCTTTGTGCTTTCTAGCTGGCTTGCTAGTGAATCGGCCATTATTGTGTGGATTGTGGAGTTGTGCAGATAGGTAGCTGAAAATGGATGCTGCAGCCGCAAGAGGTCGAGTGCGGGAAAGGAAAGGGCCGGATTGATTTGTGGAGTAGCGGGCGCGGTGGAGGATCTAGAGTTGCATCAATCTGTTCGCGGCGTCCTCGAATACTGAGTATGTTACAGTCGTATGGGATTTGGAGGAGGAGGCCGGCGATCCGTACGAGGGGGTTGCGGGTTGAGGTTGAGGTTGAGGTTAGGAGGTTGAGGAGAGGGGCAATTCGGCGGTCGGTCGGTGTCGTCAAGTTCTGGTGTGGGCAGCTTGGCTTTGAAGGGAGAGCTTTGTGGCGTGGACGTGGTGTCTCACTGCAGGCTTGTGCTTATGCGCAGACGTGGAATTAAGGAATTGATGGAAGGATTTCAAAGACCAGATGTTTGGTATTGGACGTGGATCAGGTATCTGGCGAAGGTTTGTGTGGGGGAGAAAGTTTTTAGGTTACTGAGCTGTGAGGTTATCACCTTGGAAAGCAGTGGCAGTTTTGCGAATCTGCCAAGCCAAACCCGCATAATGCAATCACCTGACCAGGAGAAAGGGCGACTGGTGGGACAAAGCAGCAATGAAAGTGAATAGAACTATTTACAGCTCGTAGCCCTCTATGAGGTGGGTGGGGTGAAGTGTTTGTTGTATTGGTCTGAAGGAGGTTTGGAAATCATGTGTGGGGATTCACATCATTTGAGACGATTTGGAATAGGGGCATCTCGCCTGGCTAATCATTCGATTATCTGCCTCCTTTATATAGTCATTTCTCAGTATATCTGCAGATTATTGTTGTTAGACAAGTTTAAATAATAGAAGAATCCCATTTGACTAACTACTTCTTTCTACTGTTCCATCTTAGTTCTATCTCTTGAACACAAACAAAAAGAATAAGAGACCAGGCGGTAGTAGTAGCGCTGTTAAGTAATTGGAAATTCTACTCAACAAGAAAATGCTACATCATACATGATAAGAATAATGTTACTAGAAAGTTCTGTCCTAAAAAAGGTACATTGGGTGGCAGTTGATTCATTTACCATAAACTCAAATCCTAACGCTTCACTAGATGAACCATAATTCTGGCTTTTATGTACTTTACACCTGCTGCTCCTTGTTCTCATTACATCGTATCATAACACAGACCAAACGCCCCATCGCATTACCCCAGAAGACAATCTGATCCCTGACCCTAAAACTGCATAGCATCTGAATCATCTCGCTCCCTCTTTACCTTCACACCCGCCTCATCCCTCATCAAAACTGCCACGAAAGATCTAAAGTGCTCCATATATGGCTTCAATCGTGTCTTCTCCCAATCCTGCACAACTTTTCCACCATCTTCTCCTTCGGGGGCAGTCCATTCATTGATTTCGTCCAAGAGCTCCGTAACTGTTGGAACATCCAAGGGATCAAAATCCCCAAGCCTCTTTGGATTGATCGGAACACAGACTCGACCTGTTCCTGGGTGCACAACAAATGGACTTTTCAGTAAATGGTTGAGGTGCTTGCTTACTTCAATATCCAGTCGGGGGTATGTGTACTCCAAGAGTACATCTTGCTTGGCTTCCAGCAGGGCTTTTGAATCCAGGTTTTTGCTTGCTCCGGACTTGGCTAGGGCATCAATATCAGCCCACTTTGCAGACGAAGCTCGTCCAGGGGCCGAGCTCCATTTCTTTCTCAGAGCTTCATTCAAGCTTCTATCTGGTAGTAAGTCAAGGAGTCGAGCAAACTTCACATCTGTCTCCCAGGGATCCTGATCTTCAAGGATATCGGATTGAAAGTGTGACTTTAAAATATCAAGACTCCGTCTAAAAAAAATTAGTTGAGCGTAAAGCAGATGAAGTGGCGCAAACTCACGCTACATGTGGGTGTAGTGGTCTTTTGACATCTACTCTCTTGCCCCCTTGCGCCCCTCCTTTTATGACTTCAAGGTATCCTGCAACTGCTCTCCTCTTCTGGTCATTCATCTGACGAGCTTTCTTGTCACAGACCCAAGCGTGGGCACCTCTACGACCAGAATAAACCCACAAAATATGTTTGAATCCAAAATCATCCCGCAATGCAATATCAATCACCTTGATGGCCATTGTGATGAATTGCCAACACTTGATGCAGATGTTGGCCTTGTCGCAGCATGTTCGAATATCATCGTAATCAGTCAAATCGATATCGAAGCATAATTCTTTTGCTAGAGGTTTGAAGGAGGAAGCTTTTCGCAATGTTTTTCTGTCCCTAGGATTCGTGTTGTAAACTGGTCCAATTTCAAATCGAGATGGCATGAGTCGGAGAACGTCTTTTCGTAAACTTTCTTCGTTAGCTTAGTGCCTCATAAAATGTCATTGAACTTACAGATCTGCAGTAGGAAATGCCTGGTAACGTAAATAGGCGTCGTTCTGCAGCGTGAAAGCGAACTCCCGGTGACCAAAATCTGTCGAAGGGGTGGGCGAGTGGTTCAACCACTGAAAAAGGGATCGCCAGGGAAATAAGCGCTGGTAGAAGGCTCTCATTACATCTGTGTCTGTGGCTCGAGATAGAGTTCCTATATTTCTGCGAAAAATTAGTATATGTCTATTGGCCAAGTAGTTCCATCTACACTAACACTGGCGATGAGGGTGCCTCTGGTGGTGAACTTGACACTTTTGTGTCTTTGATATTGGAACTCGCAAACTCGTCATCTGAATCGTCATCTGCGAAGAGATCCTCCAATTTGACCTCTGGTTTCGCTTCTGCGACTTTGGTGTCCTTTAACTGCTCTGCAATCGCATCTTCCGCTGTCATTTCTTCTGCAGGGGTAACATTTGACTCGTTGGGTTTGTTGACCTCCGCATCTGTTTGCATTTCGTCGGTTTCCATTTCCTCTGCAACAATAGGTACCTCGTCGTTTTCTGCTGAATTTGCTCCGGGAATGGAATGCGGCATCTTTGGGTGCAGTTGTATTGTGCTGTTCTGGTGAAGAATTGCTGTCATCAATTCAGATGCTATCTGATGCTGCAGCTGTCAGATGCGTAACTGCAGAAACGCAACGCGGTCCGTCGCGTCCAAGAAATCTCGCGTAGAGTACTTTATGTCGGTAATACGCCGGCTGCACTCCGATAAGGGGTTGCGCAAGCGATAAGCCCCGCGCCCCCAAATAAACAATCGGCCTCAACCCAATTGCGCATCGCACCACATTCCCATCGATCTACCACCACTGATATTTGGGCGGAAATCAATCATCATGGCTATCCCCATCGCCAAACTCTCATTCGCGAGGTAAGATCGGACCCTCCAATACATATTCCCCTCCAGCTTCTACTAGATCGGTGACCTGGGTCAATAACCTGGATCAATGGCCTGAATCAACGAGCATGGTCAATTTTCGTACTATCTACGGTACCATAAATATACAATCAATAGATTGACTAACACAATATTGGTATCACAGAGACCTGGGCACTGAGGTGGTCACCATCTATGTCGGTAAAGAAAAGCAGCCATTTGTCGTCCACAAGGCACTCCTCACCTCTGCTTGCGAGTACTTTGAGAAGGCTTTAAATGGCAAGTTCAAAGAGGCAGAAGAGAAAAAGATTCAATTTGATGAAGAGGATCCTGCAACAATTGAGCTTCTAATTGCGTTCCTCTACTTGGGGGTGTTACCAGGAGTTCCGCAACCCTCCAATATTCCTCCGGGACTTTTTCCTACCCCAGGAACTGCGACCGCCCTTTCAAATCAAGCACCCCCAAAATCCGATGGAACCTCTGTCCCCTTCAGGCCAATTGATGTGATCGGTATGTGGAATTGTACTTGCGACCATTGGACGAACCCTAACAGCTTGTCATTTTTTCACTTCCAAAGCTTCGTTGAACCTCATCACATCATTATATTAGTATCATGCTTGAATTCTTTGAGATTGCCACGCTAACCTTTGGATTTCGATCTTAGAACCCAATACTCTCACACAGCAACTTTTAAATCGCTTTCTACACATTTGCTTCGACCGTACCTATGATACCTACTCCCCTGAAGAGCTTCGCTTAGCAGACTATGAGCGCCACAGAAAGTATGGATCAGCAGCTGAGCTAACTCAACAATGTCTACCCCCATTACCACCAACTAGTATGGCGGCTGCGATGTCCAGACGAGCGGCAAGTCATCCTACCACCACCCAAGGTATGCAGTTCGGTCACCCTGCCTCGCATATGCCCGCTGGCAGTCAAGCAACCTCATCTTCTGCAACTCTTGATAGAAACGACGATGTCCATCCATTTGCAAGCTTGTTTACGAATCGACCCACGGTCACGTTTGGTACTGCCACGCCTCTCCCTAGGAATGGTCCAGCCGCATCATGGTTTGGTACCCATTCGTGGGGCAATCCTTCGACACCACCCTCTCAAACACCCAACAACACGCCAGTTCAATCTCCGTCCGCGTCGACTGCAGTGGAGGATGCTCAAGGTTCTACAAGCGCTGTTGGCAGCTCTACGTCTGGTGAAATGAGTGGTTTTGCCAAGTACGCAAGTGATCAGTCTGGTCTTGTACAGTCTTCGTTGCAGAGCACAGGATCGGTGTTCAGTCATCAAACATCTATCGAAGAGCTTCGAAAAGCCAAGGAAAGTGAGCTTCGTGAGGCTACCTTTCGACTTAATTCCATGGTAAAGCCAAGTATGTCGCCAAAATCTTCAAGAAACTCGGATCTCCGCCCAGGCGACTTTGGTTATAATCTGTACATCAAGTACCCTGAACCTGGAGGAAACTTCCTTAAAGGTATCCCTCGTTCCGAACCAATTGTACCGGTTGGCGTAGAGGCGCTTGAGACAAACCAAGACGCTTTTCTTCATCTTTGTATCCTGGCAGAAACTATTTGCTGGCCTAAGTTGTTCAATGCTGCAATTGATGCCTACACTCAAGGTAAGCGACTCATGATCAATTTCTTCTGAGAAAATCAGAAGAGGGTTGCAAACCTTTCTGCCTCTCTTGCAAGTTTAAACCCGACACAAGCTAACCCCGAAACTTTCGACAGGAGAGCGCAATCTTCGACGCAATGTCCCAGTTGAGCACGTCGACACCATCTACGAACGCACTCATGCCAACTCTTCCCTTCGTAACTACGTTCTGGACTGCATGCGAGGACTCAAGAAGGGTGAAAACAAGGAGTACGCAGCTCTGGTATACGCTCACGAGGACTTTTTGGAGGGCATCATGTCTAAGTTGAGTACGGACGATTCCGACGATGAAGCATCCCGCGACCGTCGTCGTCCCGTTCAGAAGAACTACCACATGGTAATCGACGAGGATCCTTTCGTATCAACCCGTCGCGAGTAATCTTTCCCGACGAAGGGGGGATGAAACAAACAAATTGCTACCTATCGACTTGTTGTCACTACATGCTTGGCGATTATTTGGATTGTTTCGATAATCCTTGGGTACGAACTTGGAATAATGCATGCATGATGAATAATGATATGACGAATTTCACGGACGGACAAAATGTTTGTATGTACAATATCGACTGTCCACAGCAGAGGATCTTGATATTCGGAGTTTTTCGGGGAGTTTGTAAACGAGATACCCGGTTTTTATGTAAGATAGTTCACACAGAGAACATCACAAAAGGTGATTAAGTGAGTAATAAAAAGAATTCTTTAATAATAATACGTTATGATCTTTTGTGACTTTCTTGAGATGATGGTAGTTGGTAAGTATAGTGCTTTGATGGTAGGAGGATATAAATATCTCATCTTGATGTAATGGAATCACTGATAGCAAAGAGAACCACAGCTTTGCACACATAGAAGACAGTATTAGAGTTACAAGCAAGCAAGCAAAGAAAGAACCCTTTATTTTGACCATCCGCCAGGTCTTCGGCGACACAAGTACGATTACAGGTTAGCATATGCCCCTTCATCTCCCCACGGAGAGGAGACAAAACCAACTTTTCATATTCTCCTACCACCCAACTAAAACGCCACTTGCTTTCATCAGAAAAAAAAAGGAAAGGGACTTGGGTATATTCCATTTTCTCCACTCCAACTGCACCACACCACACCACACCCCTTCAATTTTTAAAAGTATGACTCTTCCCCGCCCTCTCCGTCTGCGCCCTCCGCATCCCCTTAGCTGCATCCGCACTCTTGGCATAAGGATCAAAAGGTGCGTTCTTCGGTTTCTTCCCCTTCTTGGGACCTGTATACTCCTCAGGCTTACGCTTAGCATGCAACACTGATTCCGCTTTACTGTAATCAAATGGTTCTTCCTCATCATCATCATTGTCCACGTCCTCGTTTGCTTCGGCCGCGGCTGCGAGGGCCTTTGCTGCAGCTTTGGCTTCTTTCTTGGCTTTCTTCTCGGCTCTGCGTTGCGCTTTTCGTTTGCGTTTTTCTGATGAGGAATCTTCTGCTGGGTCTGAAATGTCATTTAATGAGATGTCGTATTCGCCCTCCGCCTCATTCTCGTCAAGATCTTCGATTTCCTCGCTCTTAGGTTTGGATCCCCGTTTGAGCACGAAGGCTTCATCCTTCTTGGATAGTGTGCTTGCCGGCTGTGTGACTGATGGAGCGGATCTGAAAGCTGGTACAGATGTTCCAAAACTATTCGATTTGGCAAAAACCTCAGAGGACAGCTGTGGTAAAGGTACTGCAAGTCTCAGATCTTGAGTTTTATCAAGCAGAGAAGAATCATCCCATATACTGCTTCCAAATGCATTGCCCCAGAAGGTCGAGTTTTCGATTCGTAGGTCTCCTTCATCAACGACGGCAACCATCATCTCTGAGGCTGGCTTTGCCTTAGCAGCCAAAGAAGGAATATTGGCTTTCGCCGTAGCACCGAGCGTGTCCGGTCGAAGAACATCCATCATGCTGGCTCCTGTTTTGCCGCGTGCTTTGGCAAGCTTGACAGTTTCTAGCAATTCGCCAGTACGAGACTTCACACTATGTGATACAGGATGACAGAGGGCAAGAAGAGCAACCATATCCATAGGCGTTAACTTGGCAATGCTGAATATGACATGATTCGGCATTACAAAGTTCGTGCTATCATCATCGGTTCGAGCAACTTGATCTCGCCATCCATGTACAGCCTTGAAAACTGAAAACTGCTCATTATTGAACAAAGCGGGTGTTTTAATCAGCAGAGAGTACCATCCTCCAGGACCTCTACCACTTTCGGCATTGTAAACTTGTCGGTCGTAACGCAAAAGAGAAACTTCTTTGGATTTTTGCAGAACTTGCTCTAGTCGGTCTTCTTCGGGATTGCCTGGTTTTGTCCGATCAATAAGCTCATTTCGCATACTATCGAATATGTAAAGTAGGAAATGTGTATCTGATCTAGCATAGTAGAACATCTCATCGGGTATAGGTCTACAAGGACTGTTAGCAAGTTCTTTAACTCCGAGATCGAAATATGTTCTTACCGTATTCTCCAATCAGCCATTTGGTACTTTTTGTCAGCATCAAAATCAATGAATTTCTTGAGCAAGAATGCCAGACTGCCACCTGCATATCCCAATGTCCGACTAGCCCAGTGCGTGTCGAAGAGACCAACTACATAAAGACCTAGATCACGTTGAAGCCACACAATATCCATGAATGCGCCATGGAAAACCTAGAAAGTTAGAATAAAATTAGAGTAAAGCAGATGATGAATACCTTGATGATTTTAGGATCCGCAAACACTTCATTCAGTACTTGTAGCTTGTGTCTCCATGGTTTGAGAGTATCAACTATCCAGTCCTTCTCACGAGTGCTAATTTGCATAAGTGAAACAAGTCCAACAAATGTACGGACATCATGATGCTCTAAATCAATAGCAATTTCTGTGGCATTTCTGAGCTCGCTAAGCATCTCAAACACGCCTTCTTCGGTATCAACGAATGTTGCGGACGTTGTTTCAACTGGCTTGTACATTATTGGATCTGCCTTCACACGAATAGCGTCCGGGTACTCGAGATCCAGTATTTCTTTTTCATAAGGATGTTTATATCTGATTTAATTGTTAGCTTTGCTTTGAATGAAACACTTGCTACAGTCTATTTTTGATTTGATCCATTCTCGATTTGCAAATCCAATGGGTTGTGGGGTGATGGGCTAGGTGTAAATCTGGAGTAAAAAATGTATTTCATCATACGCTAATTGCCCAAAATCATTCGTAAATGTGGACAAGCTATCTTCCAATGAAACGGTGGCATGTGGCTTCGAAGAAAGAAGCGGTTTCCAGGGTGATGTATCATGGTTGTTTGGTTTGATATCGAACGCAAGCTGGGGTTTAACGAGGTTCTGGGTTCGGAAAGCATTTCCTAATGGTTGCTTTCGTTCTCTTGATGGCGTCTAGACGAAGGTCAATTTCCGGATTCAAGATTATATGGGGTAGTTTTACCTGGTCCAGGGTCGGTTGATCTTTGCGCTTGATCATGCCAGTATACTCATCCAAGCAAGTATCCGCTTTCTCCAACAAGGAATCGATTACATCCACCACACTTCTCCAATTGTTCTCAACATCGTCTACGTCTTCAAGAACTGGCGCGCGCAGCTCCGAGATAGACGCAGCAGACTTGAGCAAGCTGGTCGATAGAGCAAGTAGGCGGTTGCTTTGTTCGTCTAGGGCGGTTCCTACTTCTGGGTTCAACGAGCGTTGGAAGCTAAGATCTTCCGAGGAAATTTGACCGGCGCTTCGAGTAGTTGCAATTAGTGCGGCTTGTACCTGCTCCTGCAAAGACTTGAAGTCTTGCCATTGATCCATGGCGTTGATTTGCGCAACCGCATTCGAAGTTGTTTTTTGGTGGAGGGGAGGGAATGATTGGAGTCGCAAAGGCACAAAATATTCCTTACCCCCCTGTAAAATATCGGCGAAAAGAAGTCCGATACGGCTTAGTCACGGTATGCCAAGGCTGAGGCTGGTGATGGCTGGGAGCCTGGCACGCCTGGGCAAAAGCCGTCATTGCTTCTGACAGCTCCTGGGGTGAAAGACTAAACATCAACCTCTCAGAAACCGGCAAAATGTCCGCTTCTTTAGCGCCGGAGTGCAATGAAGTCAAGGAGTGAGTGGGAATAGTTCTGGGCACATCAGAATGAGATGAGACTGATGATTTATGACAGACGTTATGATTCTTGTTTTCTGAAGTGGTACAGCGATCGTGGGTAATCACATCCCTGCGTATGCTCACAACTGACTTGGACAGAGTATCTGAGAGGAAAAGCCACAACCGATCCATGTGCAGATCTTTTCAAAGACTACAAAAAATGCTTGACCGTTAGTCGAGCCTTGAAACCTGTTTATACTTTGCATAATCTAATGTGAATCCTATTAGGGCGCTTTAAAAGAGAGAGGCATTGACAAAATGCTCGAGGAAGCTCGGGAAGATCATAAAGAGAGCGATGCTGTCAATATGAGAAGAAAATGTAAGGGCGTTCTTTATATATCAAGTTAAGGCGAGACTAACCAATGTAGAAAGCGAAAGAAAAAAACAAGGAACGAGCTATGAAGATGCTACTATAAGCTACAGCATGATTACGGCGTTGGGTCTGGAGCATCTCGGCTTTTGGGGATCATCTCTTAAACTCTTACAGTTTCTGTATATTATGCATTTCTCATGTACTAGACCCTTTCTACTTCCAGCCTTCTTAATGAACATTAAGTGAGCTAGCTGTCTAGTTTATTTCACTTTTCTAAGTTGCCCAAGCTACGAACCTGATGACTTTGAGATAGTTCTTTGAATTATAATAGAAAGTTGGAATGATCAATTTCACTTATCTGCGGATGTCAGAAAAATCATGAGTTGTTTTTTACCAGGTTATGGTGCTATGGGCGTTCATTACTTACTGGACTTCTCCATGCTAAGGACTTTGTTGGCCCTGCAAGTGGCAGTCCACAGATATATCATACCCCAGTTTAGTGAAAACTCCAAATTAATAGATTCAAAATTGAAAAGAATTGCTTCATAAATTGAAAAAAGAACGGTTACTTGCAGGGTAGTGAACAATAGGTAGTCTAATATATTGATGTCTTAAAACTGATTCGTTGCCGCTTCCTTCACTATCGGCAGTAAGTTTAATTTCCCCATCCCTGACCCAACGAACTGTTTTCCATCATAAGTTGCCAACACCACCTGCACCTCCACCATCACCACCACCACTACTCGGATCAGCTATCAATCACTCTCGCTCTGCCCGGTTATGCCTGCGCCTGCGCCCATATAAATCTCTTCATCCCCGTGGGTCACTCCAATTGCTACATTGATGATGTGGGAAATTCGGATCTAAAGATACCTTCAAAACCACTGCGGGCCTACTGCAATCCTCCCTCCTTGCACAATTCAACCACTGCCGTACGGACTTCTCCCTGCGACCAGAAGCTCCAGCAAGATCAAACCACCATTGGAATAGGGATGCGCCAGCGAAAGAAGGACTTTAATGCACCCATTCTCTGTCCTCACATTTGCGATCTTCGTAGCCGGTTACATCACAGCCCGGTGGGATCTGGTCACCCGACTTTATGAGCTTGCAGTCTTTGCCTGGGACCACGGAGTCGTCGTATGTTGGCATCTCCCCTCCCCCCTGAATTGCACCGAGACCAGTTGTACTAACATCAAACTAGGCGCGTACGGCAAAGGGCTTTGCGATCCTCTCGATATTCTTCTTCCTATTCATAATCCCGGTGGAGAGACTGGCTTCTAGGGAAGCAGATTTGGTAGGGCAACCCAATCTCTCCCGGGCGCATCTCATCCAACTAATAGCACAATAGCACCCACGGTCTGCGAGCGCTGGTATATCTGCGCGGGAACAACTTCGACGTCGAGGCTCTTTTTAGAGCAACAAACGGGGAGAGACTGTCATGCCCGATCATGATGGGCTTATGAGAATTTTTTGGCCCTTGGATTTATCTAGAAACAATTCGCCGGGAATAATTGTCGGATGGAGAAACTCGGGGCTTGATATATTTGTTGTAGCGATCTTGGAGGTTTCCGATGTGGGTTGATAGCTTGTTCTTGTAGAACTTGCTAACCAGTGATCAGGCACGCAATGTGGAAAATGCCCTCAAGGTTGGGACATTATTTCGAAATTCCCCTCATCCAATAACGAGGATATACGAGTTATGTGGACAATCATCAATACACGTTTTGGGTTTGGCCAATTCCCCACAGGAGGAGGTTGAATTGCTCCAAATTCATGCAACTACTAGACCATATCTAAGGATGCCCCAAATATCTTGCGAAAGAGCTTCGACGATACAGATTATCATGTACGAGCGCCCTATGCCAACAAGGATGCAATACATATCTCTCAACCCCATTTCCCTGGCACTTGAGGATAAAGCGGAGATTGCGGTACACGCACCAGAGAGCATCGATGCAGAAGAGGAGAAAGAGGAGATGAAGAATCGGGCCCAGACGAAGCATCTCGTGGAGAAATTAAAGCTTCATACGGTAGCCAAACATCCCCCCTCGCAGAAAGAACTGGCGTTACCAAGAATCGTGAGCCAGGTCAACTGCTCTTGGGAATTGCACGAAATTCTCCACAAGAATGCATCTTTGGTGGGAAATCGTTTGCGTCGAAGTCTGAGTGTATCGGAAAGGGTAGTCGAATCTGCAACCAGCATGAGAGATTTCGTGATTGTCACCATCTGGCAAATCATCACATTGTATCTCTACCCGATTGTTCGTCGTGGATTTGTAATTGGACTCCTGTGTCACAGAGTTGCTGCTGAGGCACTTCTGATTGTTCTAGAATGGCGCGCAAACCCCCAGTATGCCGCTTTGAAGGATATATCCGCTACAGCTCAACAGGTGGAAATACGACTTCAGCAGTTTTGCTACTGGCCGATGCAATACATAACACTAAGAAAAAGGAAAGACGACTGGGAAAGTGTGACAACAAGTCACCCAGATTATATCAGATTTTACAATAGTCTTTGGTTGGTTGCGAATGATGTCATCATTGGCATTGCCTTGGGGTCATATATAATCGATAATTCGGTTTGGGTTGCCGAGTTTATTGGTGAGATTCTTGACCTTTACTCGGTTGCTGCACTGCGAAGGACTATTACTTGGCTGATGGATTGGCCAGCTGGTTTGAAGCTCAACAACGAACTGGCTGCTTTCCTGGGCGATTTGTTCTTGTGGGTCATAGATCATTGGTCGAGTACGTATACCTCAAGTCCCTCTACTCATACAATGTATTAATCTTAATAGGTCTTGTGACCGCTCTTCAGCCTTTTCTACCACACCTCATCTGGTTTATTGGATTCTCCAGCTTTGCAGGTGCCAGCATGCCAATCGCGGTATTCTCAGACCTGCTTTCAATCCTTACACTCCACATATACTCCTTTTATGTGGCTTCGGCTCGCATCTTCAACTGGCAATACACCATACTTCTCTCACTATTCCAGCTTTTCCGTGGGAAGAAACATAATGTCTTACGGAAGAGAATTGACTCTTGCGACTATGATCTGGACCAACTTCTACTGGGCACTATATTGTTCACATTGCTTTTCTTCTTGTTACCAACTGTGGTAGTATTCTACCTTACTTTTGCGTGCTCGCGTATGGCCATAATATCCCTTAAGGCCATATTGGATACCTTGCTTGCATGCCTGAACCATTTTCCACTTTTTGCGCTCATGTTACGAATTAAAGACTCGCGACGATTACCAGGTATGTCTATTTGTCTGTTCCATTTGAATTGCATACTGATATATATAGGCGGCATTCGTTTTGAATTGAAAGATACCCAACACCTTACCTCCTCCACAGCATCTGACTCGCCCGCTCCTCCCCCCACTTCACACATATATCTCAAGGTACGCCATACTCCTCATCCTTGAACTTGAGGCTGTCTAACGTTGCTACATAGTCTGTCCCACTTACCTTCCGCGCAATGTTCCATCAATATTTCCAACTAGGACAACGAATTCGCAAACATTACCTCTCGCCCCGTGTTCTACTCTGTCTGGCGACAGGCAAATTCGTTCCTCCGATCCATCGCAAAAACCTCTACAGCCTCCAGTACAGCATGCTCCCTGCTCGTCGAGCAAGGGTTGTGGACATGTGGAATGCTCTCACAGCTAGCGCGCCGACCAAGGAGAAAAAAGCCGGATTTGAGAGTAGACACCATAATGGACGAAGATTTAATGGGTTGAACGGGAGGAAACATTGATTTTTGAAAGATTTGTTTCCCTTGTTTTCTTTTGTGTGTTGAAGAGATTCTTGTATATATTGCGAAGGAAATCTTCGCGGGGTGTAATAATGGAGACGGAGCGGTGACTTGGTTGATGGAAGGGTCTTTGGGTCGGCTAGCCTGTCTTAGATACTTTAATTGATGAAAAAAACTCATGTCTGAGAGCTCCTACTTGTTGAGGGATGTGTAAGTTACTTATTACTGCAGTCGCCGGTGAATGGTGTTAAGAAGTACTGTAACAGCAAATAGCTTCTTATTGTCGTGTGTTGGCTGGAGGGATGTGGTTAGCCTAATCCATTCGGATAACTTGACTACTTAACCCGAATTCCGAGGACATACTAGACTAATTATCTCGACCGATTTTTAAAATGATCGCGGAGATTACTGAGTCGTTCTGAAGTAGTAGTCAAGAGAAAGGATAACAGCAGCAGGGTACGAGGACTTTGTTGTCACTTCTTCGGCTTTTCGGGAGGTACAGTACTCTCTACCTGGGACGGGATATAAATCAATCTCTCTACCGTGGTCGAATAATCTACTCATTTATTCCTTTTCTGTACCATCTTATCGATTAGATTTATTCTCACCCCGTTACGGTACGCTTCCGGATCTAGTCCGTAAAAATCTTCTTTTTTCTTCATGGATAATTAGGATTCCTACCAGATGGTGTGGTGCAGTACTTTTGATGTACCGACACGAGTCATGCGTCGTCCCTTTTAGGGGCTTTTGCTGTGCGGTATCCTTATAGCGAGGTTTTTTGGATCGTTGAGGTTCTTGCTGAGTAAGAGGAGGAGGGAGGATGTCACGGGACTCGTGTGTTGGTGGGGTGTTATTGGGGTTTTTGGACTCTTGGAGATGTTTTGGGGGATCTGGATTTGAAGGTACTGGAGTGGGAGAGGTTTTGTACTCAAGTATTGTACTTGAGATGGAAGGTTGTGAGAGGTTGAGAAATGGAGGGTTGGTGAGTAGATGGAGTGCTTTGATTTATTGTTTTTCCAAGGCTGTTAAGGTGTTTTTCTTTTGTTAGGGAGTAAATGGAGTGGTCGGATTAAGTGTGTTGTTCAGGCGGTTTAGGTGTTCTTCTTTTATTAGGGAGCTCCAAGCTAGGGAAGTTTTAGTGAAGTAGGGATAAGGAGTTAATAACTGAGTAGGTGATATCTTAAGGCTTAGAAGTGTGTTCATTCAATTGTTTTTGGTTCACTTACATACTACCAGTCACTCACCCTCACAGTCACCTCCTTAAGCATTAGCTGACTAATTACAAGTACTCTCAATTATTCATGGTACTAGCTATAGGAGGACATGTTCTATAAAAGAACGACACAATCTCTCTGTCTTACAACTTTTCTTGATCTATCACCAACCATCTACACAAACGAAAACTATTCTTGATCCTAATACGAAATCTATCCCAATACCAGAACTCCAACTTGAATCCTGAAAAAATGTCTGACAACTCAAGCAACCCCAACGAAGTGGCTGATACAAAATTGTATCACTTGGCCAATTCTTCAGGCTCGCGAAAAATAGATACACTAAAGAGAATTATCCACGCTCAACGCAGCATTCATCACGCACAAAAGCGACAAATCGACAAACTCAAATCCAGACTGAAAACTCTACAACGTTCAGGGGAGATGAAAGAGGACGAAGTCGATCAAATACTACGAAAGCTTCACGATTTGGTAGATACGAATTTAGCACAAACCGAAGAACTCGAAACTGCGCTCGCTCAAGCAAGTGAGAAAAGCGAACTCGAGATGGGATTTCTTGAGCACGGAATCATACAGCTACAGAAGGCACAAACAGCACAGCTTGGTATGATCGAGAAAATAGTCCGCCAAGTTCGACTACCAGAAGCGGATCAAGTGATGATAGCCCAACGTGAGAAGCACGATAGAGAAATGCAGATTTTGGAATCAGAGCAGCAGCTTCTACTCCTCAAGTGCCAGAGGGCACAAGCTCAAAATGTCAAGGATTTAAAAAGGGTCGCTGCTCGGATCGCGGAGCTTGAAGAACAGGCAAATGATGGAAGCGAACTGCTTGAGGAGCTGTATCAAGAGCAAGAACGGCTATCGATGAACCTACAACAGATTCAGAATCAGGTTTAGGCTCAGGTCTCTCTGTACGAAAGTGCTCCAGCTGGAAATGACAAAGAGTTCCGGGATATCGCTACTCGGAGAATGGAGCTTGAATAAAAAGGAAGAGAAACGGGAGAGCTGGTTGGTAAACTGTCTCGAGAGCAAGATCGAATATCGCACAAGCAACGACTCCTTAGACCATAACTCCAACGATCCTTCCAGCGGCACCTTCTATGGGAATAGTTGTGACTACATCGGAAAGGCGCTTTGACTTGGGGGCCTGATAGATTTTTGGTGGCGTGGGAATACAATATTGCTTTCTAATAAATCTTCTTATGTTTAGAATATGGGGTATATTGGGTGGGCTTCCCAGGGAGTCCAACGATTTAGGATCGAGGTAGCCAGTTATGTACAGTAGAACAATCGACATCACATTATCATACTTGATGCAAAATTCAAGAATCGATCCCGGGGGTTTTGTGGTTTGAGAGGTGTATTCATTAAAGATGGTTTGGAAAGTGTTCTTTTCTTGGGGGGTCGGGGATGTTGTAATGAAGCAAAATTCAGTAATAGACCTGTGATTGTTTGGGACTTGAGAGGCATATCTATTCAAGATAGCTTGGAAACATTCTTTTGTTAGGCAATTGGGGATCTTAGAATAGAGCAAAACTTAAGATTTGATACGTGATTGTTTTGGGTTGGAATCTGTGTTTGTTCACCTGTTTCTGAATCACCTACGTATTACTACGTATTCAGCCCAATTGCATCAGATTACTATTACTCAACTTCCTCCTTATTATTCACAATATCATAGAGGCATAGTCTATTTAAAGAGGTCACCGGCCTTCTGTTTCGTCCTTTCCTTTCATCCATCACAATCCATCTACAGACACAAGGACTATCTCAAGTTATCAACACTGAAAATCAACCTACAACCTCGAAATCATGTCATCCAACTCCTTTGAACCATCTGACGTAGATGCTGAAGTTGTCCGTAGCGATCTCAAATTACGTCTCAATTATCTTAAGCAAAGTCTTCAGTCTCAAGAACGAAGGTATGAAAGCACTAAGCAACAAATATGTGCAGTTGAGCAAGAACTCAAAGCTCTACAACACCCACGACAAACCGGAGAAGCAGAAGTAGTCGATACAGGACCGCACGATGCCCTCAGTCAGGCCACAGTCTCTGCTCCATTGAAGGCTGACTTACCATCCGTTCCTAACAACCAAGACACACCGGAAGATGTCAAGCATCATATCGAAGTGCGAGATGAAGAAGTAGCTAAATGCATACGATGTCTACGCAGTATTGGGCTGCAGCCTGAGCAACTTGAGCTCGCTCATGCGACTCCCTCCTACTCGCAGAATTCAAAGCCACTGAGTGCTGAGGAGCAGTGGACAATGATGGAGTTCTTCCTTAATAAACATTGGGAACAACAGTATCATGTTCGCGGGCTTGTGAATAGATTCAAATTCTTGAGAGATTCAGGGCGGACCAAAGAAGCGAGCGCAGCTAAGGAAAAACTGGAGCATGCTCAAGGTTCCGTAGCTTGGAATTTGGCGGAAATCATGGACCTTACAGGAATAGAGTTGCGAAGAATTTATAAGGGGCTTCTTCAGTGCCAGTATGCTCAAGATGAAAATCAAGAGAAGTTGGATGACTGCGCTCGTCAGAGATCTCTGATGCAAAATCTTTTCGTTCCGCTTGAAGAAGAAAAATAATCGAAGGCGAGAGACCTGGCTAAAAAGCTAGAGAACGAGGAGAAGCGGCTAGTCAATGATCTGCGCTACCTCTGTGCTCGCTTGCGGTTTTGGATATAACCAAATACTATGCTGCTTCAACAGAGACGAAATTATTCTGTCTTGTTTAGCATTTAATGGGATGGGATTTTGGGCATATGGAGTAGAATTTCTTGGAATGTTGATAGGCTTAGGATACAGTTGGATAGAATAATCCATATTACATTACTATATCTTGTATTGTCTTGAACTTGTTTGGCTTACTAACAACAGGGAATGGTTTCGCAGTTTATAATACTTTTTATTTATTAATCGTGATTTTATTAACTAGCTAGATACTTTATTAAGCTACATTAGGTAACGCTCTTTAATATCTTCTACCTATATAGACCTTAAGCTTTCGGCTTTTACAAAGATTTCGTACTAGAACCTTTTAAGTAAACTAATAAGTAAATGTTACTTAGATCTACACGTTTGAGTAATGTCTAGTAAAACGAGCACTTTAGTATAGTTCTCAAGATGAAATGTATCAAGATTAATTAACGATACAAGTGTCGTTAGTGCTAAATAGTACAGAAGCTTGTGCTAGTACTAGAACTCGCTTATCCCCCTTTTAAAACAACAATTTCCATCTACATCTAACCAACATAGTACACTTTCGTGGACCAAAAGCAATAGTAAACATTTTTGTACTCTATGCTTAACATCTACTTAATTTTGTATAGACCACTTTGGATGTTCCTACTAGTCTTGCCACAAAATCAAAATATAAAATGGCGAGATATTCATTACTCGTTTACACAACATACAAGTGATAGAACCAACCAACAACCCCTGAAAAAGCAAAAAAACAAAGACTCTTTCTTAATCTACACATTCGGTCAAGAACTGGAGAAAAAGCACCAAAAAGATAATCATCAGGTTGCTGGCGAACTTCTCCGCCCATACAGAGGCGCCAAGCGCAAGAGTTGCTTGGAGGTGAATAGCCGAGGTGAAGGTGAATGGATTCGAGATTTGTATAGGCACAGGTAGTGAAAATTGAAGGTCCCAAGCGTTTCCCAGACGGCTTTTCCTTGTTACAGAGTTACTTGAACTTCGGCTTCAAAGCGAGACATCTTCGCCTTCACCTTCCATGGAGGGTCTCTTGTAGGCAGATAAGCGGGAAAGGAATATAGAGATATATATCTTGTCCCTCCCTCCCTTCCGTCCTCATCTTTCCTCTTTGCAACAACACCATGGCCATAGAAGAAGCAGCAGCAATCCCCTGGCGTATAGAAAACCACGATAAGGCTTTTGCGCTCTTCCTAGCCCTTATCCTCAAGGATAAAATTACCTTGTTGACTAAAGAAGAAATTAAGTTGAAGTTCTTATCTTTGCCATCTACCTATCCTCGAACACAAGTAGGTTGCTACTGCAGAAGCTGCTAAAGCAGATGCCTTCAGATTGCTAACAGCTGATTCCGAATCACCATTGGTACCATTGGTCACGGCTCGCGACGTCTACAAGAGGTCAATCGAGCCCACCGGGATGCTTGCAATTGCTCCTCTCGCCCACGATGACAAGGTCGATTTTGCCTTAAATCGTTTCTTGACAGTACGATATCATCAAATGACTTCAGGGATGGTGAGAACTTTGCTTTCACCCGAGCATATTCATGCTGCTGACACGGATTCTTTTGGGGAACTGATCAAAATGCACAAAGCCGCCGCTCGCTCCCACCAGAAGAAGTCCTTGGACTTCTTATGCGCCTTCGTCGATAGATTCAAGGTATTCTGTGATGAGAATGGAGGGGCGGGACTCCTGGATCATGCTCCAACGAGCAACGACGACAGATCTTTGCTGCTATCTACGATAGTGCACCGATCTGGACGCTGGTAAATCTTCATCCTCGGGAGGCCCGATTTGTAGACTTGGCGCATTGTAAGTTTCCAATTCCTCTTGTACGAATTGGGTCACTAATACTGTATGTTGAGGTTCGTCTCCGGTTCCCCAGACAATGAATAGAATCAACTCTTGAGCTCTAGTCAAGGCAACCGTCAACCGTCTGATATCTCCAAGAAACCCAATTCCCCCCTTCGCATCCCCTGCGGTCATAGTCACCACGATCACGACTTTCCTCTCTGAACCGTTGGATTTATCAACGGATTGACAGTTGTCGTTAGATACTCTGAGGCCTTTGGCTCTTAGGAAGTTTTATATTGTCGAGACACCTAGTTTGTAAAATGATACAATCAATATATCATCGATATCAACCCCGTATCGTAACAACTCCTTAACTCTCTCGTACACGACCACAAGGTGGTGGGAATTCGTCTTAGAGGTTCCCTTTTTGTTAGCGACGCAAATTCCGTCTTCTACGGAAATGAACAAGGACATTCTTGTTCTTGTGGGGATTCTGCCTAGATAAGCTGCCGCATACTCAACCATGGTAGCATGGTCGACTCTGTTAAAGGTTGAAGGGTCAGATACAAGCAAGCGAGTCTTGGTTCCGGTCGTGTGGTTTATATCTGTGTAAACGTCTTCTATCACGTTTTCCATGATATCTGGGTGGATCTATACTGCACTCGTAGACGTACGTATGGATAGCCGATGGCCACCATGCGACTCAGGTGGTCCAGAGCCAATTGTAGAGCCATCGAATTGCGCATTTAGATGTGGCCCTAGCTGCCTCGGGTCTCCCACGGCTACATATCTAGTGATTGTCGGGAGGTAACGCCTAATAGCGGCCAGCATTTGAATCTCACAGGCGTTGGCGACTTCATTAAAAATCGCTGCGGAAGGCTTATAGTGCCTCGCCGCTGGTGAGATACTATTGCCGAAGGTTGTGAGTAGGACGTTTGTCTTATGGGTTATGACAAATGTTAAAGCCGACGACCAAGCTTGGTGTAAAGCTCTGCTGATATCTTTATCGGAAGTCGATGTTGACCGCGATCCAAAAGGATCTGCGGAGCAGTCCCAAGTCGCGATAACATCCGAAAGATGTTTGAAGAGGGCGACTTCCTCGTCGTCATTTCCCATCCATCTATCCATATCCAGCTCTTCCATACGCCGGGTGACTATCTTCTTTACGGCGTTGGCGTGCTTCTCGTTCCCACCAACAATTCTAGTTGCCATGTTAGAGAGCGTCTCTTCTAACGTGGTAGGAGAGTCTCTAATCCGAGACTCCCCACGTCCAGTCTCTGTCAGGTTCCACCCCCGGCCCAAGTCCTCGATCGAATCGGCCGTATTCCAAACCAAGGAGTTGATGAGGTCCTCTGAAGCACCAGAGTTCCTAGCCATCTTGATCGTTGTGTTTAGCAACAGCCTAACGGCAGCATTAGACTGCGAACATATAAAAACCTTCTGTCCAGCTAAAAGGCAGGTAAGTATTATAGATACTAATACGAAACTCTTTCCTGTCCCACCAGAACCAATAATAAGGGTACTAACTCGGTTCATAGCAAAGTAGAACGCAAGGCGTTGCTTAGCGTTCATAGAGAACGCGATTCGACAAAGTATGGTAAGAGAGGCGGGCATTACTCTGTACACACCTGAGTTATAAAAATATTATCCTAAAGACCTCATACAACAAAATTAATTATATAAATAGTTTAAAATAATGGTCACTTTTTATTCCTAATTAAGTAAGGTAAGATAAGACAATTGATTTACTTGTGCCAGACTTTTGGCATAATAACTTTTAATAGCGTGTATAGAGCAATACTCGCCTCTCCTACTAGGTAAGCTAATAGGGACGAGTGGCCGTCTGCCGTGTATTTTCTACCCTATAAACAATTGGCTGGCCTAGTTATTTACTGGGATGCCCAACTACGGGTTACCGAATAAAACGCGGTTAAGTAGTTGAAAAGTGCGTTTGATGCTCGTTTGAATGGATGGAAATGTGAAGAGGGGTTGTCTCATTCTGAGAGTGTCGTAGGTGGGAGGGGTGGAACCCTCAGGAATCTACACCATAATCGCTAGGTTGTAACTTGATGAAAAGGATGGATCTCCTATGACGACACCCCGCCAAACTTCCTCTTCGGAATTATCACCATATGGGTAGTTATTATCAGAGTAGCTGTCATGAATTTTTTCCGATTTGGTAAAAATAACGTTAGCGAAGTCGCCCTCGGTAGGCATCTCGATAAATCTCTCATCTTCGTCCCACCTGTAGACAATTAGTCATTATGCCAGAAAATGAGGAACGGTAACTTACAAGATCTCCATAACAAAGATCCAGTGTCCCTCTGGAGCACTGACAAGAACAGTTGATGCCTCGTTTGCATCCCAGCGCCAATAATCATTGAAGGTAGTGGTTCTCTCATCCTCCTCAACCGCCATTTCCCACAACAAAGAACCCTTTAAAAAGAATTCTGCTTCCAATGTGGAAGTAAAAACATACTTGGGTGGCATGATTGCATTCTTTTCAGTTGTATAACTGAGGGGATCTATGCCCTTCTCCACCCAACGGTTCGGCATAAGAGTCTCCATGTAAGAATGGCGGGCACTGCTCTGTACACGCCATCGAAAGTTATTATACGAAAAGTCTGGTACAACTTAATTAATTGTCCTACTTGACTTAAGTTAATAAGAAGTGAAAAAAATTAATTATTCTAAACCATTCGTATAATTGATTTAGTTGTGTGAGGTCTGAAGGATAATATTTTTATAACTCAGGTGTGTACAGAGTAATGCCCACCTCTCTTACTTCGAGTTCTTGGAGTGATATTACCTCGTAATGCTTTGTTGAATCGGTCGCATGTTGCGTCTGAGTCTTGGTGCATATGCGCCAATAGGAATGGACGCCGGTCGGTGAGCTGAGAAGACATCTATACTTCAATTCAAATGACGGGTGATATGAGAACGTAATTCTCCATGAGATCACGGGGCCCCAATCATTCACGCGGTCGTTAAACATACATCTTCTAAAACTATCGGCTAGGGCTCTCGAGATGAGACCACCAGGCGACATTCTTCTTGCTATAGTCGTGTAAAATGGCGAGATATCTATTACTCGTTCACAAGTACTGTACCTAATAAGACTAACCAATCTCCCGGTAGATAAGAAAAGTGGTAGAGATCTCTTTTATCTTATCCTAACTTAACTAAAAACTATTATATTATGTTATTTACTTAGAATAATAAAAATGATTTAGCGAAACCGATAGTATATAATAAAGATAATTGTTCTATATATTTTAAACATTTTAGTACTTAGAATCAACTTACGCTAATAGTTAAAAAATAAATTTCTGCCGCTCTTCTTGTCCACCGGGAGCCAACTAAGTTAAACTAATAATAACCACTTAAAAAGCAAAAAATCAAGACTCTTTTTCAGCTCACACACTCGGCCAAGAACTAGAGAAAGAAACGCCAAAAAATATAATCATTAGAGATGGGAAATATCGTCGCGAGCAGGGATTGAACCTACGCGGCCGAAGCCATAAGATGTCTGAAAGCAGCTAGTGCCATTCAAGTCTTACCCATTAACCACTCTGGCATCGCGACTTGTGTATGTTGATTGAATGCCAGGATTTGCTTGTTTGTGTCTCTGATCCTTTTGTGTGAGTTAGTGGGCCGAATATTTGCCGATTGAAAGGTGGGTTGTTCTGCTGCGTGATAAGTGCGAGTACTACCAGGATATGTAGACATCTGACCTTTTAGCTCTGTAATAACTGGGGGGAACAGCTTAAAACTGCTAGCAAGCCGCTAGCTAATTAGAGTAGGGAAACTTTGTTTTTACGAAGTACGAGTATAGTACGTAGGTAAGTTGTTTCACATAAACCCACAGAACACTAGAGAATTTAAGAACCTAATTATAATTTAATGAGACTACGTCACGAATGCCTTGATTTCTGAGTGGTACAGTATGTAGCTTTTAATCTTTTGATTGGAATGCGATTCATATGATAATTGATGCTTGGTATATTAAACGCCAGGTCAGAATGTGCCATTTACTTCACGGCGTGATCTTGTTACTCATCTTCCATTTTGAGATGTAATCAAGTATTGCTTAACTTTGCATTTCATTCCTGGATTACTCAAAGCACGTCTCCTTTCGTCTTGGGGCCCTTGTCCTTCAAAACGACCATTTTCAGATACGAGGTACATTAGTCGTATACCACAAGTCACGAGAATTTCTTCATCCCAGAATTATCCTCCCTCACTACTCATGAGATTTCACCCCCTTCTCACGTCCTCTATCTCAAGCCCTCAAAATACAGTGCTGTCCTTCGAGAATTCACTCCCAACTATTACCCCTCAACCTTCTTTCCCGCCATAACGATGCGGCGCTGCTCCTCGCGCGAGAAAACCTCCGTACCCTGCTGCAAAGCACTAACCAAGATACTTAATGCCTCATCCTTAAAATCCTCCGCGCCTCTCACACGATCTAGGTCCTCGGCAAATTCTACAGTCGCGCGCTGCATGTAGAACTTTGTGAAGGCGACGGAAATCTCTGCATCCTCATCTAGCTTGGACGGTTTTTTCTCAACAACTGTCGTGGATGTCTGGATTTTCAGATATGAATAATATGGATTTGGATGGGTGATGGGGGGTGTCTTACTGTTTTATTTTCTGGTTGTGGTTGGGGTGAGGTCGATGCAGCGGCTTCGATTTCAGAGTCGCTGTCGCTATCCGATGACACTTTTGCGCGGGTTAGTATGGATGAGAGGATGGGGAGAATGAGGGTACCTTGGGTTCGGGACTTCCGCTTTTTGTGCCTTCGGGGCTTGTCTTGTTTTTTGAATTCCATTTTTTCTTATGGTTGGTTTAATGTGAGGATGAGTAGTAGTACTTTGCCGGAGCGATTTTCTCTTCTATCAGATTGTGAGTCACGTTTTTACTTGGTCACGTGTAAATGTTGTCCATAAATGATTCTCGTTGATAAAAGTTCTGAAGCTATGAAAAATACTATGAGTAACTATATAATATACGAGAAATACACTGCGGTCTAACAAAGCGCGCTCTTGATACTTAGTGTTCATCTATGTGTTTACAAGAAAAGAAGCGCGAAGGTATACTTATTAACTTGAAGTGTTTTAATCAAGTCCTTTGAAGCCTTTTATTCCCTTGTTATATATATATACATTTACGATCTCGAGTTTCAAATCACTTGATTGGACGATAGTCTGCGATAACAAACAGTTTTTTAAGCAAGACTATCTCAAAAGCTCAGACATAAGGATCGGCTTACTCGATCATAGACTGTATAAGTAGGGATTGAGCCAAATCTGAGTAGTCGGACCGGTTAGACAAGGTTTCCCGGCCCGACTTCCTGCGTACTGTACTATTTTAGTTACACTAACGTTCAAGACTAAAAGCGGATATAACGAAATTGAAATCGTATTTATACATATATAGACGGGGAGAGAGAGCGACGAGGGGATGGTAAATCAAAATTACCAAATTATGGGTCTAGCCGCTGTAATCAGAGAATTAATTAAAAGATAATTAATTTTGCTTTCGAAAGATTTCCTACTAACTCGTGAACCGTTCGTCTCTATGGCTTAGAATCTAAAAGTAGTCGATTTAATATAAGACTAATTAATTCTCAAAATTAACCTACCATGCAATTTCGATAACTTAAGTAAGTATACCTTGAAGCCAAAGAGTAGGCCATATATGACTAATTCTTTTAAGGTACATGCTGCTCTCTTTCTTCGAACTTCTTTCTGTCTACTTGACGAGTTTGCTACAATGAAGTCTATTCAAGTCCTCTTATTACTCCTCCTGACCTACACATCCCTCTCCTTAGAGGTTGGCATTCGAGAACCAGAGCCTATAACACGATCTGGTAGATCTATTTTCCAGTCCCTGCGTAAAAGATGGGGGTTCTTTATGCGAGGCTTCCCAATGGAATCCCCCACATCCACGGGCGATATATGGCCAAATAATATAACCGACATAATTGAACAAGTTGTCGCCCTCTCCTCCTACATTGTGGACACCGTAAAAGCAGACGATGCTACGTTTATCCAGTTTTTTGGGTCTCCAGCATATTATGATAATGTTATGGGTTCGTCTTTCAATCCCACTTCCCTATCTTTATCCCTTCAAGATGCCAAAGTGCCAAAAGAAAACGCGCGCTACCAAGTGGAAGCAAGGAGTCCACTTTTGCATTTACTTTCTCCATAAAACAAAATCGTCTGGCCAACTGGACACACGTTCCCAAGCATTTGAACCTCATTTCGACCCATTCATCGCACTCAATGATACCCACTTTGTACGCACTTTTTATTTTTTGGCACTCTGGCATCTAGAAGGGATAGGACTAATTGATCTATAGGTATCTTCTCTCGTATTGCAAATATCGATAGCGAAACCAGGGGCAGATTTACTGAAATTCAAATTTATGGAGACCAAAATAATCGCTTTCATAAGATACCAATGGAACTCGCGGGAGAATTCGAACTAATAAATGGTGCTCCGACCATATGGCTATATTGGCTTTTTACGTTGTATGAGGATGTCTGGTGGTTGAACCCCAATTGGGGGGATCAACCAATTGAAGGCCAACTATCAAGTCTAGTCAAAACAAGGCAGTGTGCTATTCTGCATGAGTTGACACATGTTGTTGGAACTCTGGATCTTTATGGGCCTGTAATACCTGGGACCGACCCTGCGACTGGTACGTTTAATTTCGCTCACTCCTTCGGAATGCGGATGTTCTTTGGGACAAACAGAAAGTCAAAGAAAAGCAAGATTGACATTTACGACAGGCATATCTGACGGGGGAGAAATCTTAGACCATAGGATTGCAGACGCAGCAACTGGTTGGGGGGATAAGGTACTTGTACAACCCTGTTTCTTTTTCGGATTAAGGCTAAACATTATTCTAGAAATTTCTTTGGAAGCACTTGAGTCACGACTTTTTCCCCAAACTGTGGAGTAAAAAGGATTTGGAACTGTTGAAGGTCTACAACGAGAAACCAGTTCTCCTTCTGCCTCAGTTAAAATCGGGGCCAATATATGCAGCCCATAATGCTGAAAATTATGCATTATTTGCTATGGGTAAGCTAAACTGGAGCCCTTTTTTATATTTACTTGGACAATAGGAATACTAATTTGAATGCGTGAAGCTTTATTAGCTAATTGGAATTCGAATGGGCAGATGGTGCCTGAGAGGGGGGAGCCTGCCTTTTGGTGGAAAACCGCCACCCGAAGGGATCCATTTGAGTATTTACCGCCACCATATGATGTTCAAGGAGAGAGGCAATTCAAGCTCTTTTGGATCAATACTGGAAGAACCCGGGGGATATAAGGTATATTGATAAGGGAACAATCTGATGGAGTAGGTCGAAAATCTTATTATATCGATTACTAGAATTATTACAAATGCTTGAATAGTCAACTGTTTTATCATTGACAGGCCTTGTTTAAGAATGTACTAAAGGGTTGGATTCAATTGCGATATCCGCCTGTGCTATGCCAACCCTCAATATGACTAATTGATCAATTCTCACTCCCAGAACACTCGTCCTTCTTATCAACAATAAAAGCCAGCTTTCAGTTAAAACACACACCCTCGCATCAAAAGTAAATAAAGCACAAAGTAACCCAAACAATTGAGCACTCAAAGCACAATGCTACGCAAGTCTACACCTCCCCGAGCCACAAGAAAAGCACATCGTAGATAGATTGACATATTTACCGTTACCATAGTCTAATCCCTCAAATCTATCATGCGGCGATTAAAATAGTCTGATTGACCAAGCCCTGGATTTTGGTGTGCCATAGCACAAGGGTTTGATTAAGGGCTTATATACTCGTAGTTACAGGCCACAAAAGACTAGGCAAATCGTCGATTATTGATAGGCTTCGGCTAAATGGCTCAGACTTTCTGTAACACTAATCTCTCTGGAGACATGTAAGAAACTACTAGAAATCGCTCCAGGGCTCTATAAAACCAGGTTTTCTATACATCACTCTAGATGTATCACTTTATATATATCCAAAAACCCTTAAAGACTTCTTGAAAGTCTAAATTCAAATCTTCAATCACAATAGATAACTAATTGTATCAGTAGAATTAGGCTAACAATTAACACATATCCCAAAGTTTATCGAACCATCAAAATAAGTTTTTATATATGTTATCTTCTGTTTTTCCACATGTATACTCAGACCCGAATACCAATCAACCTTGCCACCCAGAAAAGAACTGAGAATCACCACTGTTCAAGTCCTGAGAAGCCAAATAATGATCCATACACCCCTATCGTTAGTTAGCGAGGGCCTGCCATTAGATGGAGTCGGATATGTACCCAATTAAACCCATCCTCCGTCCCGAAGACATTATTGAAATAATCCGGTAATGGAAGATCCATCGATCCGACATCATCGAGTGGGGTATCTTGCATGGTATTCATACCCCAAGCATACTCCCCCATATCAGACCTTCCCTCTTCCTCGATGATCATAGAAATGGCCATTGAATTAGCTTCCACCGGTTTGCTTACTTTCTTGAGCATAGCCCCCAAGACATTCGCCGCTCTCCTGGCTTCCTTAGATATCTCACGTCTCGAATACCAGATATCATAACTATCCCTCACAACCTCATATCTCTTCCGCCTCACCTCCTCATCGCCTTTTTCAAAACGGCTTTCATAAAGTTCAAGACACACAATCATAACCGCCAGGAGGAAGTCATGCATAATGAGACTCGAAGGCATCCAACGATCATTATATAGCTGACCACCTGGGAGACATGCATAATGCAATTCCTTCTGGTATTCCAGGATCTTGAGAGCGGAATCTAAACACTTTGCGCGCGAGAATTGGAAGGTTGGATTGAGACGGTCGTGGTTGAGGTATTTCCGGTGGAGAACGCAGGAACAGCGGAGATGGAGGAGCTCTAGGTTCAGTCGGTGGAGAATTATGTAGGCGGGATCTGTGAGGGAGCAGTTGAGGGGCCGAGGACGCAGACTAGATGGGATGTTTTCGTAGGCGATGGAGAGTTCTTGTTCGAGCTTCATGGTTTCGGAGTAGGAGGGGCTTTTTAGGGAGAGGGCGTGACGGATTACGCGACGGAGGAGTTTTGCTAAACGGCTTTTGACGCAGTAGTAGAGCATGGGGGTTGGATCGCTGGAAGGACGCGAGGGAGGAAGAATCTCGCAGTCTTCGGAGAAATCGGTGTCTAGGAGGTTACTGGGTGGTTCGGTGTCGCATTCGTCTTCTTGAATTGTGGGGGGGACGCCTGCTTGGAATGAGAGGAGGAGATCCATTACTTCGACCAGAAAGAATGTACGTCGTCTCATTTCTCCTTCAAAAGGGGTTATGTTTTTGAGGGTTTTGGGATCCCGGTGGTAGCCCATTCGTAATGCTAGTTTGGCGGTGATTCCCATTATCATCCAGCTACTGGACTCGTAGTCCTCCCGTAATACAAAATTACATTTCAAGTAGAAGAGGAGGGCCTCGAGGGAATATTGTTTGCCTTTCTGATACTCGCCAGCCAAGAGAGCCTGTTTTGCCCTTGTCAAGAAGATGCGGGGGTTGGATGAAGAACGATCTTTAGTGCCACTGGCCTCGTTGAACTGTGAAGCGAGATACATTGCTGAGTAGAGCATTGAAATCCATAACGGGGATGCTGAAGAGTGATCTTTCCAGAATTCCTCGCACTGGTAGCATCTTCAGTACTGGGTTTGTTACAGGGTTAGGTCATAGTTACCTCTCGAAGAAACTTTGTACTATGAATAATTGCTATTCGTGTCAGTTTGGACTGATATACACTGGATTCATGTTGGACCTACGGCTCTGATTATGTTTTGCGTTGAAGTAAGCCGACATCAAATTATCAACTGTTGCTCGTGGTGGAAGTGAACTGCAAAGTACAGAAAAAGTCACCATCGGAGAGCAATCGAACAGAATATTCTGTCCAGAAGGCAAATTATTTGGTGTAGGTTCCTCTTCTACGCCAGTATCGAGGACATCTTGGATTCCACGTATCTAATCCTCGTATGCATTAGTAGGAGACCTGTGAACTTTGAAAGGAAAACAAGATTACGTTTTGAAGTACTGTGGTCCAATTAGTGGCACCTAAATACCTAGTTCCCGAGTCGTTACCACACAAATGACTATGCTCAGTTAGAGTTGCGTCACCTGCTTCATTTGCACTGCCAGTGGAGGTCTTCAAAGAAGGATCAATCATTTCAGGTGGAGTTATCGCTAAATCCGAGAGGAAGTTGCGAGGTTCATTCTGCTCCTTCGTTTTGTGCATTAATAAACCTGTGACCATCTCCTCAAGTTTTTGAAGTCTCAATTGAACCTCAGAACCTCTTGATTCAACATGGCGACTTCGAGCATCTTTTATTGGTCCAGCATAAGTGCAAGGGATGCCATCACCTCTCTTCACACAAGAGGAACATGGACGCTGTCGGTCGCATTTCAATCTATGATCAAAGTAAATTTGGGATCTGATATGGTTTTTGAATGGATTCGACTGACTTTCGACTTCGGCATGTCGAACATGATATCGACTGGCGGTTCCTTTTCGTCACTCGAGGTTGAGGTTGACCGCTCGTGCCATCTGGTGCATCTTTCACAAAGCGAAACACTGTTTGGAATCCAGCAGATGTCGGCATTCTGTTCAGGGACATTGCGAGGTCAATTAGCTTCCAGATGACAAGTTATTACCAGAGCTGGAGCACATCTGTATTTCACATTGGCAAATGGCGGTAGCCTGGGGATCGGCTACATCGGATTTAAGTTGATAACGCCGCTTTCGACGGACAATCAGACCAGAAAAGAAAATGAAGAGAACCAGCCTGCGGTAATTGCTCATCAATAATCAGGAGTGGGTGCTTGTAGGTTGGAGGTAGCGGACTATTTCTCATCCCAGAAAACTTTACACCGGATCCGTGAGAGAATATATAACCAAGTTAATTGGTCTAACTCAATAGCACAGCAGAAAATTGGGAGATTACTTACGCGGACACTACTCAAATAAATCGAAGAATTATTCGGAAGTATCTGCGCAAGATTTCCTTTCAGAATATTCTTTCGATCTGTTTATATAGCAATATTGATGTAAGTAGCTAATCGCGTGGTGGTCAGAACACGTAGCAACCCTTGTTAATCCTATATAACATTTACTCACTAGAGAGGAAATTATCCTAGAGTATTCGAAAATGACTCATCTTTTGCAGCTCAATTGTGGTCGACACCGAAATTAACGGTACTTCTTCTGAATATATTATTAGAGTTAGTCAGAAAATTTATAAGATTAAATTTGAAGTTAATATCAAGCTTCACCCCGATATCGCTTCGAGCCCCGCCCACATCATCTTGAAGGTTACTCAAATCTGGGGCACATTAAATACCGAAAACCCGGGGCCAGTCCTAAGAGCATTTCTCTCGAATAGCATGGGTCAGGAAAACCGAATTTCTTTTTTTTTCAAAGTGAGAATTCTGCGGCATGTGTGACAGTGCGATTCGTTCTGATTGCCCATGTAGAAAGAATGATGAGACACGAGCGGCGACCCTTTGGTGTTGTAAAGGATCACTTGAGACAACGTTCACGTTTTGTCTTTCGCGGGTAGGGCAAAAAGCCAATAGTAAATAAACAAGAGTAAAGATAAGAGAGGAGTGTCTCGACAACAACCAAAAGTCGGAGGGATAATTTTCACTTGCAGCTGATAGCCGTCAGCCCTGCTTCAAACGGCGGCTATCGTACTGTGAGCATCTGGAACATGCCGCAGCGACAGGAGTACCTACGCTACGGTAGTGTAGGTACTCCGTACTGTACCTGTACTCATACCTGGGAGTGTAATAGGCTAGAGTGTAACCGGGAGTACCCCGCCATGCCACCACGAATGACGACCAATTTGGAGCTCTAGGTATGATCGTCGAATCCACCCAGGATTTAAGGATAACGGCTAAACAAAGCCAAACAAATCGTTTCATTTTTATTGACTTGTTTTTCTCTCGTCCTCTTTTGGTTCTTTCCAAGTTATTTTGGGGCGACTTCTTGGGACGATAGCCGAAAATATGATCTATACAAGAGTTGATATTCATACCGGTACTTGGTAGCCCTGCGAGCAATGCAAATGCATGCCCCTACCAGTCCAATACGGTGTTCTCGGTGCCCTAGAGTTCGTAAGCGAGGCGAGGTAGCCGAAAAGGACAAGTACCTATCTAGATGGATTGACATGCTGATTGCAATTGGTAAAGGCTACCGCGAACATTACGTGTGTGAAATCTGAGATCTATATCGTAGGTACGAGCGCGTGAAGCACGTTACCTAGTCGACAGGCCCTGGTACGAGCAAACTCTCGCGGAGGGGAGGCCGGGGAGGAGGGGAGAGAAACCTCGGAAGGGCTTGGTTGCCCGTGTCATCAGCCCCAAAAGCCGCCAGAAACCCTGGAGTTTAGCGCATGCCACGGCCACGGCATACCTAGGTTAAAAAGTGGGGCGGGCTCGCTTACTGGTACGGGCATTATACACGTACGAGCACCCGCGATTACCCCGTAATCAGTGGTGTTGTTGGTGGTGCCAGTGAAAGTAAAAGTGCCAGTGCTAGTGCTAGTGAGAGAGCCAGGGCAGTTACAGGACCGTAGCGTAGGTACTGTATCCAGGTACCTAGGCCTAGGTACGGAGTATCCATTGGATAGGTAGTCACCTAGTGTACTCGTACCCACGGAGTAGGCTCCTCGTCTAGGTACGTGGGAGTGGTTGGCTGTCACTCTCCGAGTGTTGCAGGTGTACGTCGGTGTATGTCGTACCAACACTCGGCTCGCCTCGCTCGCTCCTTCCACTGCGACAATTTCTCTTTCACCTTGAGCATCTTTGTCTCCTCTGCTCCTCCCACCCAAATCTGATCTCTCGATAGCCTCATTCTCATCATCTCACCTCCCCATCACCCCATCAACCACCCCCACCC